ACAACATAAGGTTTTGGTTGAAAGCTAATGGGACTAGGCTAAATTCATTTTGTAAAGGGTCAGAAGCGATAAGCGATAAGCGATAAGATACTGAAACCACATAGGAAAAATAAGGTCTTTGGCCAAAAGAAAAATCTTTTTTTTTTTGGTACTGGGGATTGAACTCAGGGGTACTCGACCAGTGAGCCATATCCCCAGCCCTATTTGTATTTTATTTGGAGACAGGGTCTCAATGAGTTGCTTAACGCTTCTCTTTTGCTGGGGCCGGCTTTGAACTCTGGCTTTGAACTACTGAACCTGCCTCAGTCTCCCGAGCAGCTGGGATTACAGGTATGTACCACCATGCCTGGCCAAAAGAAGAATCCTAAGCATAAGAAACTTGAGCAACCAGCAGATGTTTAAGCAATACAGCTAGACCCTAGCAAGTAATATCCAGAGCACAGAAAGGCCAGGGAGAACTCAAAGGGAAGCAAGGGTTCCATGCCCAGTTCCTCAAAAAAAAAAAATTCCTATCTTAAAAGGAATTTTCTCATATACTTAGCCTATAAGTCACTAACTTTGTACTGATATTGCTACAACAATTTTTGCTAGTACTTTCAATAACAGTAATGAAAAATGCTACCTGTATTAATGTAGTTCTTCAATTTTTAAACCACTTTCTCATATTCTGAAAACAAGCAACCAAAGAGCTCTACTTTCTTACTTCATGGAAGCTCTAAATCCTAAAATCCAATTACTCTCAAACTGGTTTCTGGGGCTGGGTATATAACTCAGTTGGTAGAGTGGGTTCAATCCTCAACACACACACACACAAAAAAATCAAACTTTGGTTTCTGGCAGCGTGAACACATGAGGACAAAAGAGGAGCCTACACTACAGTTTATTCTAAGAGTTTCTGATACAATAGTGCATACCTCATTTCTCGAAGACGCTTCACATGCTGAATGCATTTCTCTGCAGTGTAGTCTACTTCCTCCTCTGTAGTAAAGCGGCCAATGCCAAACCTTAAGAAGGAAAAGGAGAAGAGCTTTTCATCAGAGCTGGTACTGTGGTAAATTTACTTGGCCAGTACTCACTGAGAACCTAGTACACAAAACACTTAGAAGAATATGGTCCTACCCCTCTAGGCCAGAGTTTCTTAGAACATGGTCTGTGAATTTAATACATCAGAACCACCTCAGAAGAAGTTTCCTAATTCTCCTCCAGACCTAGTGAAGCCAAATACGAATGTGAGACTCAGAAACTGTCATCCTTCACAAATTTCCCAAGTGATGCTCAATGAAGTCTGGAAACTTCTGCCCCAGAAACTTTCCCAAAGAATCAAGAAGGAATAAGAAAGGGTTGGGAGTGGTAGTGAAGGTGCTTAGCAGGAACAAGGTTCTAAACCAACACCCAGCACCCCCCCCCCAAAAAAAAAAAAAA